ATATTTTAACTGATCAAAGAAATAATCAGGAGCAATTCTAATAATGGAATGGACACAGTATAGGATTTGGCACCTAATAGCTGCTTCATTAACTGACTATCTACTTATAGAGCTGTATGCTGACCAGTGGTGATGGCCACAAAAGAAAGTGTGAAATGACAACATTTCAAAGAAATAAAATTTCACAATTCAGAGTATTAAAAAATATGCCATTGATATACACTTTGACTTCAAGAAAAATTTATGAATCTCTCCCAAATCTTTGTTTCAACTGTTAATTGAAAAACAATCTATGTTTCAGTTCAAATAAACCTAGAGTCACATAATTACATCACCCCAGAGACATCTGAATTTTTCTAGGAAACAGGATGTGAGGAAAATAAATGATTTATACAATTATACAAATAAAAAATAATTGACCTTTGTGCTATTTAAGGGTCCTATGTTAGGATTATAGTTTAGCTGAATTCTTGTTTGTGTTGTTCACCTTTATTGAACTCTTCTACCAGGAAAGAGACTCTTTAGTAGACTTTTATCACACAATGTCACATTTTATCCTCACAACAATTATTATACTATATTGCATATAAATAAACTGAGGGGAAGTGAGTTAACTACGTAATTTCACCCAAATCACTCAGCTAGCACACAGAATCTGGAGGAGGATTGAGCTCCAGAATTCTCCCTCCAGCAGTCTGGTTCCTCTGCTCTGCAATGCAGTTCCTATACTTGCCCAGAATGGTCATCTCTAAGAGAAACAAGAAAACCCTCATCTTGAACCAAAATAATTTTTTTTCTTCAATCTTTAATACTAACATTTCAAACCTATGAAAAAAACATTCAGTTACTAATTATTTTCTGATGCTAGAGACAACCAATTTTTGAAGAACTTTTTGTTACAGACAAGTCATGCATTATAAGATGGCAATCACTGCCAAACTAAAATTGTTAAAAAAATTTCTCTCTATTAAACCAATACTACTTTGGGAGAAATCATACAAATGACATTTTACTTGAACATCTATTTTAGTCTGTACACCATATTTTCAAATATATCCTATTTCTCTACCATCAAACTTAAATGATTTTCAAAAAAAAAGCCTTAATTAGGAAATATATTTAACTTTTAAAATATTATTTAAGTGGCATTCTGAAAGGTGACCCCCCTAATTAGATTATTATCATTGAGTTTTCTCTTTGAAAAACTTTCTTTGAAGAAACTACCATATGTCTTTACTTAATTTTAATTATACAACAACTAATGATGTCTGACAGTTATCATCGGCCCATTGATTAAATGAGAATTCAAAACCAATTGATTTTGAATAGTTTTCCTAGAGTTGCATAGTGGCAGAGCTGAGACTTGATTCCACATGATTAAAATCCAGAATGTAGGTTTTATGTATTTTTCCTTGACGGACCTACTCCAGTTCATTCCTGCTTTTGTCTTCTCTCTCAAAATCACATAATCCTGCATTCATCTATTCATTCATCTTTTTCATTTATTCTTGCATGCACTCATGCTTTCTTAAACAAATATTTAATAAATGTCAGTGCTATTGACTGACTATTTGTGTCCTCCCCAAATGTTGAAGTCCTAACCCACTACTTGGAGATAGGAACTTTAGGGGACAATTAATAAATAAGGTCATAGGATGTAACCTTGGTTCTATGGGCTTAGTGTCCTTATAAGACACTGGAGTATCGTTTGTGATCTCAGTTTCTCTCTCTCTGTGCCTTCCCCCCTTACCTTCTTCCTCCTTCCCTCCCTGCTCCTTTCTCTCTCACTGTGCACATGCTTGGATAAGTGGCCATCAGAAAACATAGCAAGAAAGCAGCCATCTGAAGCCAGGTGAATTGTCTGTACTAAAACCAAATCAACCAGAAACCTGATCTTGGATTTCTAACCTCCACAACAAAATTAAATGCTACTATTGAAGCCATCCAGTCTACAGTATTTTGGTATATCATCCTTAGCTGAGTCTGGTAATTTCAGGTAAAATACCCAGTATTAAATGAAAACATAGGCAGTACATGCAGAATAAAATCAAGACACTGTTTTTAAAGGATACAGCTTTGCAACCTCTCAAGGAAATTGTAATCTATGAGGGAAGCTAGACATATAATTTGGATGCCTTACAATGCTTAAGGTCTTTAATATATAAGTTTATTGGTGCTATCCTGGGACAAAATATAAATAATACTAAATTGTGACTAGAAAGTTCAGACACTGGTATCAAGGAAGAGAATTTGAAGACTAACTAGAATCTGGTATGGAATGGGAAGGAAAAGGAAATTCCCAGCAAGGGAGAATAACATGTGCAAAAAAATGGGGACTTCACCTAATATGTAAATGATGGATTATATATGGTTGGTGTGGATGAAAGCATAAAGATGATCCATTTTTTGACTTGAACAACTGAACAGATTATAATGTACTTCCCAAAAGTGAACAAATCAAGAAACCTTTTGGGGAGAAAAGAGCAGGTATAAGGTGAATGATAGAAATGATTTATTCAGTTATGGTAGGTTGGGTTTCTGCAGCGAAAACATTTAGAATCTGATGCACAATAGACATTCAATGATTGTTTGCAAATCTGGGTTTTCTGTATTCATGTTTATTTTTCTTCATCCAAGACTTTCTTTTTTTCACCTTCAACTGAGATTTTTTTTAAATGAATGGATAACAAAAAAGCAGTTTTACTAGTTAATCACAAATATCCATCTAAACAAAAATAGTAGAAAATAAGCTACAGTTGAGCACAAATATAACACGAACATGATTAAAAATGAACACACAGGAGTAGAGTGAGATGTCTGTGTGACAACTCTGTTGCCTATTATTAGATTTTGTATTCATTAGTATAGTATAAGATTTAAAAACAAAACACCAGAGCCAAGAGAATACTTCTTCCAAGGATAATAAGTTTGTCAAAATCATCAAAAAAAGCCTTTCTCGGCCCTCCCTGGTGGCGCAGCAGGTTAAAGCATAGCACTGAGAATCTAAAAAGCCGCTTCCGCATGAGTTCAATCCTCGCCTGCCCCGGAGGTGACCACATGGTGTGGCAGACCTCTCCTGACCCGCCCGCTGCTCCCCTCAGCAGTGTACTTTGTCGATCTGCCTGTTCTGCTCCCCACTCTGTCTCTGGTGAAGCCTCTCACCGCCCTGAGCCTCTGGCCTGTACCCCAGTTCTGTATGCACAAATAAATAAATCTTTAAAAAAAAAAAAAAAAGCTTTTCTCCACTTCTGTTCACCATGGACATAAAACAGACAATCCAAATGAGGATTACCACTAAAATGGTGACTAAAACTACTATATTGATGACCAAATTTTGAAAAAGAGAGAGGGAATAGATGATATATAGCCAATGACTCATGAGTTCTTTATGATAGTATCTTGAATTTCAAACAATAAAATTCAGTTATGTTATAACAAAAAAAGAATCATTTTACATTTCTCAAGGTATTTGTCCATGTATATATTGAGACATTTTACGTCAAGAAAGAAAGAAAAATAATAACATTATCTTTAAATTTCCTCTAAATGCAGAATTTCCCCCAGGTTCACCCCTCACCCCAAACTACAGTTCTCCTGTTTAAAAAGACACAGGGCTGCATTTACCAACACTGTAATTGCAAAATGATTTCATTATTAAGCTTTGGTTTATTCCAAGACTTCTGGATAATCTCTAGCAGTATTGCACTTGTTGTTTAACTCTAGAGATTTTGTAATAAAAGTTTAATGAGTTACCTATTATTAGAATGTTTATAGCCATGATTTTAAGGTGAACAATAATGACGTAAAGTTCATACGCATTTGGTTTGAAACGTATTCAGCTCACATATCAGTTAATGCTACAGTGATTTTCAAAAAAATCTCTTATCAATATACATGTCTAAAGGCAATGTAGCTAACCCACAACTTTACTCGGGCTGTGGCTAAGAACAAAACTAAGAAAGGATTTCTCCACTTGTAATCATGTCAGAGCCAGATCTCAACTTTTGGCATTTCAGAATTTGAACAAGAATTGTGTTTAAGAGAACATACCAAAATAAATCTAGTTTATCTGATTTCTGTCTCACTGAAATACTATGAAACCAAAGGTCAATCACTTCTCCAAAAATACCTTCTTGTCCATGTAAAAATTGCCTGCAAGTAGTTCAGATATAGACCAATATTTTTTGGAAATTTTGATGCAATAGTCTAATTACAAGTTTTCTATTTATCAAATAAATGGAAATATGTATAATCACAATCTGACCAAAGTTTATAAACTCAAAAAGAAGAACAGATAACTATCCTTATCAAGATAAAATTTATTTGGATTTTATCATCATTCTTAGACATTACCAAATGGATTCTATGAAGACTATGGTGAAAACCAGTGATTTATTTCCCTAGTATTTTTTACTGTCATTTTTATACATGAAGTAATCATTATATCAATCTGAATATAAAGAATTACCACAAAATTCAGTCCATGTTCACATTCTGGAACCAGGTAGAATCAAAGCAGGGTTACCACAAGAAGGCAAAATATATTAGAAGATCACAGAGAAAAATGAACATATGGAATGAAACTAAAACCAACCTGACTCAGATACAAAATGGAGGCTTAATTTTTCTAAGCCCCTCCACCTTCAGAAAAGGTAAAATCCAGTAAACATGCTCTATGATGGCATTTGTTTGCTTGGACAACCACATACAGTGTTTCCGAAAGTTAACTATAAACACTATATGTCCTTCCTTTAGTTTATTTTCTAGTTGATACCATTCTTTGGCTACTCATTGTTTCAGTTTCCTCCTATTATTCCACACCTTTAAGCAATACCTTGTTTCTATCAAGAAGTGAGATTATCTGAGAAGGTTGTTCTTAGTGACCTATTTCAGACATTTGCAACATAATTAATTTGCTTATTGGTTTATGGTGACTGAAAATACAATCTTCCTTATATAGCCAAATGCATACAAGTGTGTTACTCAAAATAAATTCTTACCTCCCATCCATAACTGGGGTCTTTCAGGTTTGTCCTCTGCTCTCCTACATAAGGCCCAAACTTTTCACCTGCTTCAATCTTCCTTTTGGTCCATATTCCTAGTCCCGCTCCAGGCATATTTGACTCTCGAAGTTCAAATTCAGCAGGAATGGGAATATCATCAGGGATGTAGATGGGCGCTTTGTATGGAGAGCCCTCCTTTGGAGTGAAGGCTTCGCTGGATGTTGCTGGAGAGCATGGCTCTTGAATATTTAGGGAAGGAGTGCTGGCTACTCCATCTGCATCTGGCATCTCTTCCAAAGGAATTTCAGGGTAGCTGCCATAAACACACTCATTACCTGTGAAGGAATAAGAACTTCATGAATTGCTACTGGTAGAGAACAGTTAAACTTTGGCAGATTGGCCCTCAGTTTATAATATAGTTTTCTTTAGTGACAAAATAGAAGGCTTACTGTCAAAACACACCAGCATTAAAAACTCTATTATTCACTAGTAGGGAAGGACAGATTATCACTTCTGAGTTTTATTTGTGGTGAATCCATAAATCAAATGAGCTAATCTTCAACTGTCAATAGTCTCATGGGTCAGTCAATTGATTATCCAGCTGGGAAACAATCTGCAATTTAATTATTAGTCTAAGTGAAATAGTGATAACAAGAAAACATGGACACGGACAACCTCACACAACCACCCCAAATTGGGAGCTGATCACATTATACAAGGTACTGGAAAGTTTGTGTCATAAATGGTGTCTTGGACTAAATTGTGGGAGTTATCCAAGATTCCAAAGGCTGGCGTGTAAAGCAAGGTAAGGTTATTTATTGGAGTATTAATTTGTGTTTGTTCTTTGTCTATTTTCCTTTCCTGTTTCATACACATGACCAAGCTCTTGGTATTTCCTTGCCTTGGTAACTTGTGCATAAAGTTAAAGCTTCTTGAAGTTGGTGATTCTTCAGGACATTCATAAGAACTGAAATTATTAAAGAAATGAGGTGACTTTTCCATAGAGGAAAGGAGAAAAGGAGTGTCATAGGGTATGTGAAATGGAAAGTTTCCTTTAAACTGAAAAACTCAGTTTCTATATGGGACAGTGCCTTGGTGGACATGGGAAGATCATTATGGGACAGCAGATAGAGTACCTGGAACTGGACACTCAGCACACACATTCTGGGGAGAGCAGTAGCAAAGTAAATAACAGAACCACCCCAAGTCTATGCCTATGTGTGTATGTGTGGTTGGGGGAGAGGTGGAGGAGATGGAATGTTTGCTAGAGAGAATAATGCAATAATGGGTTTGAATCCCCCACTCATGTACCAGTTGGAAAACATTTGCACTGTCTTAAAGAAAATACTTCTTGTCCACTAGGGGATATTAACTAAAGAACAAATCTGATTTGTTTGATTAGTCAACTTTCAAGAGGAGAACTGAGAAAAATATGGGTTAAAAATGACAAAGAAGGCCCTCCCTGGTGGCGCAGCGGGTTAAAGCACAGCACTGAGAAACCAAAGCCACTTCTGCATGAGTTCAATCCCCGCCTGCCCCGGAGGTGACCACATGGCGTGGCAGACCTCTCCTGACCCGCCCGCTGCTCCCCTCAGCAGTGTACTTTGTCGATCTGCCTGTTCTGCTCCCCCCTCTGTCTCTGGTGAAGCCTCTCACCGCCCCTGAGCCTCTGGCCTGTACCCCAGTTCCGTATGCGCAAATAAATAAATCTTAAAAAAAAAAAAAATGACAAAGAAGGCCCTCCCTGGTGGCACAGCAGGTTAAAACACAGCACAAAGAAGCTAAAGCCACTTCAGCATGAGTTTGATCTGCAGCCAGAGGTGATCTACATGGTGAGGCAGACCTCTCCTGATCTGCCCGCAGCTCCCCTCAACAATGTTCTCATCAGCCAGCCTGTTCTTCTCCCCACTCTGTCTCTGGTGAATCCTCTCACTGCCTCTGGCCTGTACCTGTACAGTTCTGTATGCATAAATAAATAAATCTTAAAAAAATAATGACAAAGATACAGATTTTAATCAGAGACATCCAAAAGTAAAATGGATTGCCTCAAGTTCCCATCATGAGGGTTCTAATGTAGGCTAGATAAGCATAAGTTAAAGATGATATGGAGCGATTGTTAGTTAGTGATGGGTTAGGGTTAGTGATGACACTAGATGAATTTAAAATCAAGTAATAATCCTAACCACCCTGCAGTTCTATTAATTGTTATAATCTTCCAAGATAGTTTATTGAGTTAGGAAGTATAATAACCTGGGTTCTAGCCCCAATTCCTTCTCTTAATTATTATGGAAATTAATAAATTCTAATCCTCATTAATAATAGCCCAACAATGGCCCTCCGCAGCGGGTTAAATCACTGCACTAAGAAACTTAAGCCACTTCCGCATGAGTTCGATCCCCGCCTGCCCTGAAGGAGATCCACATGGTGTGGCAGACCTCTCCCGACCCGCCCGCTGCTCCCCTCAGCAGTGTACTTTGTTGATCTGCCCGTTCTGCTCCCCACTGTGTCTCTGGTGAATCCTCTCACCCTCCGCATCTCTGGCCTGTACCCCAGTTCGAAGGAATAAGAACTTCATGAATTGCTACTGGTAG